TTTTTAGATTAATTTTTTGACCGACTTAAAGGACATATCAAATATTTTGACTACAGCTAAAAATGTACTAACATAGAACCGACTTAGGACATTTAAATTACAATTAGACACGGCCTGTCCATCCCCTGCCCTGATTATCATTAGACACTATCACGGCGATAATACCCCGAACTTTGAACCCTCGAGGGCTGGAAATACCCAACACCCTTCGTCAACCCCCCGCCCCCACACTATTAAAAACGCGTTTAAAAGAAAACGCCATAAAAGCTCGCCATGCATAACATTTTTTTTTCTATTTCTCTCTCAATCAATAGTATTTGTAAAGGGAATTAAGTCAGCCCGTATGTAAATTCCACGTGTGCTATCTCTCCCCCCCCCCCCCTTACTGCCCCTCGCTTCTTTTATGTTTTATTTTTCCGAATATTTACTTTGTAGGAGCAAAGTGTTAAAAAATTGTTTGACGCTCCTTCAAAATAATTTTTTTAGAGAATAATTTCTTTTATCACCAGTAGAAAAGGGGCATAATCAACACACTGAAATGGGACATAATCAACACCAGAAAATAAAACTCGTGTTCTGAACTAGAAATGAATGGTGTACTAGCTCAAGAGCCCGTTATAAAATACGGATTTGTAAAGTGGTGTTTTAATTTTGTTCTATAATTATAAATACCTGCTAGCCCAAGGATTAATGGATACCATTGCACAAATGTATATATATATATATATATATATATATATATATATATATATATATATATATATATATATATATATATATATATATATATATATATATATATATATATATATATATATATATATATATATATATATATATATATAAATAAATAAATAAATAAATAAATAAATAAATAAATAAATAAATAAATAAATAAATAAATAAATAAATAAATAAATAAATAAATAAATAAATAAATAAATAAATAAATAAATAAATAAATAAAAAAATAAATAAATAAATAAATAAATAAATAAATTAATTAATTAATTAATTAATTAATTAATTAATTAAATATATATATATATATATATATATATATATATATATATATATATATATATATATATATATATATATAGTATGCAGGCTTGGAAACCAGGCTTGGTCAAGGAACGGGGTTAAGAATTTGTCTCAAGACCGTGAACTGAAGCTTTTCTAGCACAAATCTCAATTGTTGATAAGTGTGAAGAGCCCTTAAGTTGCGACTAAGTTGCTGGGGATGGTTCTTCATTTCTCCGGTAATGATGGAGGGGAGAGGGGGAGGGATGGGTAGTTATCAGATGACGGGCTGGGGTTTAGGGTTAAAAGACTAGTGCTGGGAAAGTTTCTTGAGTTGTGTACGATGTATGCGTGTCGAACGGGTTGAATTATTGGAGCAGGTATTTTGATTCTTGCGACCAATTATCAAGTTTGGGTGGATCGGTCTTTTGCTTAGAATGACCCGTTTACGGGTCGAAAATGACCCGGGGCATCAGATTACAAATAACCCAGATGCCTAGATAAAATTTACCTGGGCCTCAGGCTAATTATGACGTTATTTAAATATATTTTTAAAAAAATATTTTACACATTTCAATATCACCTTTTTTTTCTCTGAATGTCTGTTCTAGTTGAGCCCCCCCCCCCACCACGCTTATCTTCCTCCCTCCTACGCCCCACCCCCAAATGTCCTGTTCTGTCTCCCCTCCTACCCCCCCCCCCCAATGTCCTATTATTTCTACACCCCCTCCTACCCCCCCCCCCAATGTCCTATTATTTCTACACCCCCTCCTACTCCCCCACCCCCGATGTCCTGTTCTGCCTCCCCCTCCTACTCCCCCCCCCAATGTCCTGTTCTGCCTCCCCCTCCTACTCCCCCACCCCCCGATGTCCTGTTCTGCCTCCCCCTCCTACTCCCCCACCCCCCAATGTCCTGTTATTTCTACACCCCCTCCTACTCCCCCACCCCCCGATGTCCTGTTCTGCCTCCCCCTCCAACTCCCCCACCCCCTATCCTGTCAAAAATCTGTACCCCGCCACTTGGGGTTCTCTAATGAGATCTTTGCCTGGTTCTTGTAGATTAGAAGATGTTGATAAAACGATGACTGGCGTGGCTTCAGTCTTGTCCTTTAGGGGTTTTACCCTGCAGTATGTACACAAATATCAGCCTTCGTTGTGTACATGAATATCAGCCTTCATTATGTACACAAATATCAGCCTTCGTTTTGTACACAAATATCAACCTTCATTTTGTACACAAATTTTAACTTTCGTTTTGTACACACATTTTAACTTTCGTTTTGTACAGAAATTTTAACTTTCGTTTTGTACAGAAATTTTAACTTTCGTTTTGTACACAAATATCAGCTTTTGTTTTGTACACAAATATCAGCCTTCATTTTGTACACAGAAATATCAGTTGTTGTACAATTGAGTTGTACAAGACGATATAGTTTATTTTGGTGTACGTCTGGTTTATGTCTGATAAGGGATGGTGATGTGCATTTAGTTTATGACTGATGTGAGCTTCTATACCACTGTTAACTAGATCATGACAGATGAAGTATTTGACAACTAAATGTAGCAGCTTTAAAAACGGTGCATTCCTAACCCTAACCCCCTCAATAGACATTACAGAAACCCTGCACAAGTTAATATATGTGAGTTGGGTGAAGAAGATGTGTTGCCAGAGTTTCTTCCAGACATCTCTTCGGGGGGGGGGGGGCTTAGTCCCCCCCCCTCGAAATTTTTTTTACCGCCCCCCCCCCCCCCCGAACGAAATGAAATTTATATAATTTATATAGAAAATATATACTTTTAACAGTGTCCGCCCCCCCCCCCCCCCGAAGAAAGTCTATGCCCCCCCCCCCCCCGAAAATTTCAAGTGCCCCCCCCCCCGGAGAAAAAAGTCTGGAAGAAACACTGTGTGTTGCACCCACCCCTACCCGCTTGTCATTATTTTATTCTGTTATGATAGGTCTACATGATGAGCAAACCAATTGTCCACCCTATCCTCGTCTTCACCTCCCCCCCCCCCCCCCCACCTACTTTTTGTTAAAGAGGCGCCGAATGGTCTAAATACACCACTGATTAAAACACCCTTACCTCTGCTAGCAAGCGACTAAACTTTGAATTCAGATCTTCCCTCGCTCGTTTTTGGTCCAATGTGTCCTAAATTTTTAATCCCCTCCATAATTGACCTTTGAAACAATCAGTGGACGGACTTATCTGTGGCTTATCATGGCTTATCATGGAGAGCGAGATAAGTGGAGTAGATACTTTTAAGGCGACCGCTTTCTCTTCTGGATTCTTGGATTATTTCTCTCAAGCCCAGTTACTTAGTTTTAACAGAAAATCTGTTGCTGTATATCTAAATTGAGCTGGACTACGATTAACAAATTAATAATCACGTACACATTGTGGAACAAGCACACGAAGTGGGAATAATCTAATGGATTGTTTAAAGATCAAGGGCGCTAACTCTATTGATGTGTGGAAGTAAATTTCCTTTCTTCACGCAGCTATGAAATAAATACACGTAACTAGCTCAAAGACTTCTAACACAAGGGAAGATAACTCTAACAAACCGGAAAACGAGTTACGTCAGATTTACGCGCGCGTGAGATCCGACTTCTCCCCGCCGGCCTCACGATCTATCAAGGGAAGGTAATTGGCCAGATTAACCTCCCCTTAAGAGTTCTAGAACTAATCTCTAAGTAGTCACCCACCGTGTAATTCCGTAGGTTTTAATTACGTCCGAAGGGTCAAGTTGTCCGTAAATATAAAAGCTTACCCCCACCGTGTTGATTGGCTAGTAGGTACTTGGTATCGCACAGACCACTGTTAGGTTCGATACCGGGTTATTATCGTGCGGCATTTAGAATGCATAAGAAATCTGTTGACTAAGTGCTTTCAACTTTTGTTTTGGGTTGTTGATATCGAGGTTGGACAACTGAACTTTCGGTACTTGGATTGCTTCCCCTTGTCATTTTTAAAGAGATTTCGTGAGTTAGAAATATTGTGCAGAGGAAAGTTTTAAATTATGGATCTTCGAATTTAGCTGTTGTTTTTTTAATTATTATATTTTCGTGAAACAGGTTTGTGTATGTATTATGTAATCACTTTACATTTTTTTTTTAATTATAAAATTTACTAATTAGATCTACTAATAAGTTAAAAACTTAATTTTTAAAGAATTATTATTATAATTACAATGAAAATAGGCCTACACAACACTGGGTTACACAATGAATGATTGTTAATGAATAAAATAAACGAGCCGGCCCGCGGCATAACATACGCCGCTATTTAGTTGTTTCTAATTTTCAATAATTCATAATTTGTGAATTCGACAGTACCAACGCTGACACTGAAAATATTTCTTTAAAACACTATAAGTAGCTCGTTAAGGACCATAACCCCCCCCCCTTCCTTCCCTCCCCCCCCCCCTCCTCCCCTCCCCCCCCCCTCCTCCCCCCCCCCCCTCCTCCCCTCCCCCCCCCTCCTCCCCCCCCCCTACGTTTAAAATCGTTGGCTCTGCTTGTAAACATTTAGAGTGAACACAGCTCACTAAAACCATGTAGGGGTGGGGAGGTAGGGAGAGCGTTTGCAGCTTGTTTTCTAACGGCTCGAAGAAGAGAATTATATATATAGATAGATAGATGATGCATTACATTAAATTACAATGATAGAATTAGCAGAACAGCTTAGTTTTTAGTTTTACTTTTAATTAAATTAAAAATAATTTTAGCCTTTAAGTAAAGTTATGGCAGGGCTTAGAGATTTTTATTTTGACAAGCAGAGTACTCACTGAGACTATTTTTTTGGATTACAATGGGAAATTAATTTTCCAATCTTACTTCATTATTAACTGGTTTCAATTATTAGCATTATGAAGAATAAAAAAAATAATGTGAGATTAAATATCAACAGAGTTCATAATTCCTAATGTTGACATTAGGCAAAAAATAATGAATTTTATTTTGTTGTTTTTCTAGATTTAACAGAGCAAGAAAAATGAACTGATTCCCAGTGACAGAGTTGTTTGCCCATAAACTTGTTGATCACCCTAATGGCAGAAATTAGAATCCCAACAGAGCTCATTCCACAAGACATCATGTTCAGACTCCAGGAGTGTATCCAGCACCCCTTCCAGGCATTCTCAAACTCCCCAGACTGGTCACAGAGTTCTTCTAGTCATATGTCAGTACCCCAGCAGTCTAAAACCTCACCCCAGTTCAACCAGCAGTCTAAAACCTCACCCCAGTTCAACCAGCAGTCTAAAACCTCACCCCAGTTTAACCAGCAATCTAAAAACTCACCCCAGTTTAGCCAGCAGTCTAAAACTTTACACTGCAACACGTTTGGATCATCCAGACAAACTTTCACCCATCAAAATCTCGACGAGGTTGATGGTTCGGACTCCGTGGTCCACATCCTGCCGACAACCCAGCCCACCCGCAAGGTGGAGGACGCCATGGATGACTCAGACATTGTCAGGATATTCCCTGACAACCCTTTAGACGTTCAGAAAAACTGTAAACAAGATTCTGAAATTGTACGCATTTTCACAAATGAAAATTCCAATGAAAAAAAGCTAAAAAAACATCCTGATGTTGTGAGCGTTTTTTCAAATGAGGATAGAGACAGGACCGAGCCAAATGTTGTGCGTGTTATCACACCAGTGAAGATGTGTCAGGGTGAGCCTTCAGGCAGCTCAGAGGGTCATTACTTTGACAAGACACACCGGTCATTTCAACCCCATAGCTCTAACACAACAGGAAGTAAACAACACACAGACAAAACTCTCCCTGATTGGAGAGTCAACAACAACAGAACGCCTACTCAGTCGACATGGGCAACCAGTTACAATAAAGATAGTACTCACAGGAGTTCTAGAACAATCCAAGCCCAGCCGCAGAACCGTGAGGGGGTGATGACCACACCCCAACAGCAGGGCAGAGAGGGGGTCATTGCCACACCCCAGACCAATAGTGTCTACAACAAAAACAGGCAGTCATTGTCTCAAAGATTTCCAGAGCTGCCTACACCCCCACAAACTCCGGACGAGGAAGACATCGGAGATGATGAAGTGTTTAGCTATGACTTTAATAGGAGGGATGTAAGTACACAAACAGCACTTTTACAGTAGACAGAGCATTGAGGCTAGATTAGATAGAACATTAGACTTGTGGAATATGTACAGTAGATAGAAAATTGAGGCTAGATTAGATAGAGCATTAGACTTGTAGAATATGTACAGTAGATAGAGCATTGAGGCTAGATTAGATAGAACATTAGACTTGTAGAATATGTACAGTAGATGGACCATTAGGCTAGATTAGATAGAACATTAGACTTGTAGAATATGTACAGTAGATGGAGCATTAGGCTAGATAGTACATTACATAACTTGGAACATTAGAGTTGATAGAACTTGTACAATAGATAAATGATTAGGCTATATAACACTTATACAATTGATATAACATCAGGCCTGGTAGAATATGTTCAGTACATTGAGTATTTAGGCTAGCTAGAAAAAGTTTAATGGTACATTATTCTAATTAGAATAAGAAAAGTATTACATTGATAGCGTATGTTTAGTAGATTGCGATTTAGTATGAAATGAAATTTAGGCTATTGCACACTATATAGATCACCTTTACATGTCTACACCAAGCCAAAATTCTCACCCTATCAACCACCATTTTGTTACTGTGGATCACCCCTTTAAATTCTAATAATGCCCAGTATTAAATTGAATTTTGTTTTTTAAACAAATTTAATTATCAGTTGAATGAAAGTACAATTTGTTTGAAAATTTGAGTTTTGTATTTTAGATTATAACCTCTAAAATGTCTTGAGTTCATTTTTGCTTCCCTTTTCTGCTCTCCAGACTCCTGACTGTACTTTTAGAAGAGATTACCTCCCCATGAGAGATAACTCTGACAGGTCTGTTGACACCAAGGGCTTATCTCCCTTCAGCCCATCTCAGAAAATGGCTGAAATCACATTTGGTGAGAAAAAACAGACCAGAAAGAGACTCTCATTTGAAGAAGAAGAAGAAGAGGTGAACAGACCTCACAGTTTTGATTTGCCGAAGATTAGCTCCGCCCCCACAAGATCGCTACCATTTGTTAGCTACGCCTGTAAACAGCAGACGGCCTCTACTTCAGGTCGAGCTAGGACGTCATCTCCTGCTTTCTTACAAGAGAAACCCACCTGCATCTCTCCCACCACCACCCAGGGTTTTAAACCTTACACCCAGTCTACATCCAGCTCAAAGTCTGACTCTCCAGTGGCGGAAGTTTTGAATACACTAGAGAAAACTTCTGACAAATATTCACCAAAACTGAGAATACATCGCAGATCTGATGGAGACAATGCAACAGACAGCGGCTTTGTCTGGCCGGATGATGCAACCAGACCACCTGAACTGCAACAGCGACGTCAGACACTACCCTGTATAAAGAGGCGCAGACTAGGTAAATAAACTCAATTACTAAAACACCATTTTTAAAATTTAAGAATTCCTTTTTAAAAATAAGATCAGTTGTAATATATACTCAATATAAATATATTATTAGAAAATTGTATTAAAAACATTAACAAATGTAATTATTTCTTAAATCTTTCTTTTGAAATGAGTAATAATTTAAATAGCAGAATTCAAGTTCTCCTGCAGAAATTATTTGGATTTAAGTAACTAAAACAAAAATGTACAGGTCTAATTTACACTTGCTAACCCTTTTCTTCTAGTATTTTTTTTTTTGGTGTGTAAATGAACTTTTTTTTTCAAACAGATTTCTCTTATCCAGAAACAGAAGACGAGAAAAAGAGTTTAGAGCTATCCCACGACAACGCTGAGGGCGACTGCAAATGTCAGCAAATTGGGAAAGACGTCCTGCACATTTTCAGCAACGCTTACAAGAAGATGAGGCAGGACACGTCCAACGCTGACTTAAACAGCCTCAAGAACAGCATGACAGAGACCAACGCCATCTTCCAACTGGCTTTGCAGAACTACCACAGTATAAAGAGGATTTGTCCGCACAGACGCTCCTCCTCGTCCTCATCCATCAACATGTTATATAATCATGTAATATAATCATTATACAAACTATATAGATTATTGATTATATATACCAACAATAAATGATAAGAAACATTTTAAAAAGTTCCTGCTAGTTCATTTGTAATCTAAGATGAGCTTTGTTTTGATGTTGCTATTTCTAATTTCAATGTGTTCAAATTTAAACTGCTGAAAAGGTTTTAAAGTTAAAACAATGATTCTATCAATATTTTTTATTGATTCCTTTAATACGCAATTTTTACTGTAAACTAAACTGTAGTGTCTTACATTTTTTTCTAAATATATGCTTTAAGACCTAAAAAAAATTTCTACGTTCAAAAAAAGGTCAACTTCAATAAGTTTGACTTTCTGAGACTTTGTACATATGCGCACAACATTCTTCTTGTAAAAATAATTTATTATAAAAATGCAACTTTTCAAATTGCTTGTTTGTTTTGTGAATGTCTTTAAAGACATTTAATTATTGTATCAATTTGATATTTAATACTTCATAAACATTCCACTTGTGAAATAACATTCCGTTTTAAAAACTTATTTTAAACAATTGTATCTATATTTAAAATATTATATGCACTCTTCTTTGGTCTAAAATTTATCTATTTAAGCCAAAAATATTTGTGTAAATAAAATTCTTTCAATTTTTTAACATTTATGTCTACTGAGATAATTTAAAGACCAAATTTATATTTTAACTCTCAATGGTAATGTGTTTCACTGTGAAAAAAAAATTGATTCATTATTTTTTCTTATAGTAAAACTTTCATGTATGTTCCATTATATCTGGTGTGTGATACAAAATACTGTGTCTTTTATTTATTCTTTTATTTATAATATATCAAATGCTCGGAATGATCAGCGATGCGGTATGATTTATCATCAATCCCAATGATAAGCCGTAAAATGTAAAATTCTTGGATAACATAAAAACTTTTTTTGTGTGTAGTTAAATGAAATTGTTTTACTCTTCAAGATTGTGAAAATAAAAATTATAATTCAAACCCACAACAGCTAAAACATAAAAAAAAAAGCTTTAATTGAGAGATTTTTTTGTTTTGTTGGAATCAATGGCTAAACTTCAACTACCTATAAAAAATAAAGATTCAATTTATCAAATGAAGTGATAACTTAATTTAAATGAGACATTTTTTTCTCAATGAAACTTCTTCAGTGTGATGTGTACATTTATCTAAAAAAAAAAAGAGAAAGTGGTTTATTTATTTATTTACAGAGTTAAATGTGTGGACTACCTCTTCAGTTGTCAGTTTGTATGTGATGCAAAGGTGTGATATTTCTTACTGCAGGCAACTACACAACTAACTTCCCTGTAGCGTGATTTAATTTAATTATTTCAGCAAAAGCTTAAAATCCAGGCCAAAGAAATGAATTTATATATATATTTTTTTATCAGTTTATTATTACTTAGATTTCCTAATTCCAGAAGTTTTCAGTATCAGAGTCCTGGTATTTTATTAAAACTAATTCCTAAAAATTTTTTTAGCTGTTTATTGAAGGTCCATACTTTTATAATTATCTATTTCAGTATTAACACAATAATTTTGAAAATAGTACAATAATAATATAAAAGTGATAATTTTAGAACTCAGAATCGCAAGACAAAAGAAAAGTCTAATACATTTTTTCGACTACAATTTTTGGGAAGTTAGTTGTAATTGTCAAGAAATTATTTATATTCAAATAACCTGTGTGATATTACTGTATTGATGACAGTCAGCTCAATTATTTTATTATTCCCTGCACAGGTGTATTGCAGAGTTGTCTAACATAGTCTGTCTATTTGCACAGGCCAACCAGTCCTGACAACTACTTAAAAATTAAAACAAACTACTTTAGCTCCTATGTAATGTTAAGTTACTGCAGATGATTTTGTAAGCTAGTAATATTTGAAAACAATTTATCAAACATGGTTGAATGCACATTTTTTGAATATTCTTATCTGGTTTATTTTTTTTTTAATTTAATGTTTATGCGTTTTCAATTTAATCTTTTATAAAAAAACATTTTCCATTAATGAATTGAAAAACTTTTTGTTCATACAGTAAGTATAGATGTACCCAAATCAAGTCATTGCATCATCTGAATATTTTATCCAAATTTCTAATTTAATGACATTCCCTCTTTCTTTCTTCATCAACTGATAAACAATAATTCATCAAAAACTTATTCTGAATCATTTCGTTCATGGTATTTATTTCCGTATCATTTGGAATAATCATTGGTTGACTAATAGCCTAATCTGCGTGTATATAAATGACAGTGGTGTTCAAAAGAAAGAAGTTGAATACCCTCCCGTTCAGCTTTCCGTCCAAGCGTTTTCCAATAAAATTCATCTAATGTGTAATGAAAAATTCATCTAATGTGTAATGAAAAATTCATCTAATGTGTAATGGAAAATTCATCTGATGTGTAATGAAAAATTCATCTGATGTGTAATGAAAAATTCATCTGATGTGTAATGAAAAATTCATCTGATATGTATTGAAAAATTCATCTGATGTATAATAAGTATTTCATCTGAAGTGTGTTAAAAAATTATCTGATGTTTAATGAAAAAATCATATGCTGTGTATTGAAATATTCATCAGGTGGTTTTTTTTAAAAAGTATTTAAAAAAACTTTGTCATCAGAGAAAAGCTAGCTATTGAAAATGTATGTACATTCTAAAACATTTAATTACTTTATTTTAAGATTTGAAAGTTAGTTAAATCTATAAATGTGTTCTTTTTTAAAATTACAATTACTATAAAAAAGTATAATTGTAGATTTTAAATTTATCATGTACATTATCTAGTTTTATTTGTTACAAAATTTTTAAAAATTTTTTAGTAGCCTTTGAATGTAATAAACATTGTCTAGTATTTTCACATAAGAACCTCACATAATGCCAAACATTCCAAAGTTGTTTTTTTTCTTGCGAGCCCTATCTACTTACCAAAACGTTGGGTAGATAACATGTTATAAATTTGTTATAAATCTTGTTATAAACCTGCACCATCTACTACTGCTGCCCAGCTGAATGGGAACTCTACCCAGCCCATTTATACGGACCGTCCAACAAGTATGTTTTATACACTGACACGTCTTTTTGCATTGCTTTTTCTAGTATTATTTCTAGCATTTACAACTGAAAAGGTGTTCAACTATAGTTCACTTTGTGGCCGTGTTAACTCTACTTCATCTAGACCACTGGGTCTTAAAAGGGTACTTTTATTTTAGTTGTGTGGGCCTTTTTTATAATATGACCATGTTCTAAGCACTAAATTGTTTATGATACAAATATTTTTACTATTTAATAAAATCTCAAATGTAGGCTTGTAGTAGGCTATCAAAATGTCTAATAAACTAAGTAATTTTTTTAAAAAAATAGGCTAATTAAATCTTTTACAGAAAATTTTATTTACATTAATTAGAACTTCAGATTTCTGATTTCTGTTTTATAATTAACAATGAAATTTTTAAAAATAATGTGTAGGTAATTAAAAAATAATACCTCAGCATTCTTATTTTTTAAAAAGGGTAGTTAGTAGTGCCAAATGAGATAAGAAAAAATAGAATGTCTAAGTAAATTCATTAAAAATTTGTTCTTAAAAATAATAAATATATGTTTAGAAATTTTAGCAATATACACATTCCCAATCAAACTTTTACTTAAATGTTTTTGTATGTGAGTATTGTAAAGTTTTATTTTAATATTTCTTTTACCTTGTTTGGTGCATTTGTTTTATGAAATAAATTGTTTAGAAAATGAAAATATTTGATTTATTAGTTGATTTTTTTTAGATCTTTATACAAAAATTCATGTGATGTCAAACTAAGGATTTAAGAGAGATTATCTCAATAGGAGATTAAAAGACTCATTGATCAGCTGTTCAAAGAAAGTTCGAGAAGTCTTATGATAGGACATGTCATTTACTGGTTTAAAGATCAGCTTGGCTGAGACAGAAAGGTAAAACAAAGAAGTTGATTAGAGGGCATATTCAAGATTCTTGTATTTTGTTTCTGTGGACTCGGTATATGAAAGGATAGTGTGATCAGCCGGTATCTGAGGGGATAGTGTGATCAGCCGGTATCTGAGGGGATAGTGTGATCAGCCGATATCTGAGGGGGTAGTGTGATCAGCCGGTATCTGAGGGAATAGTGTGATCAGCCGGTATCTGAGGGGATAGTGTGATCAGCCGATATCTGAGGGGATAGTGTGATCAGCCGATATCTGAGGGGATAGTGTGATCAGCCGGTATCTGAGGGGATAGTGTGATCAGCCGATATCTGAGGGGATAGTGTGATCAGCCTGTATCTGAGGGGATAGTGTGATCAGCCGATATCTGAGGGGATAGTGTGATCAGCCTGTATCTGAGGGGATAGTGTGATCAGCTGGTATCTGAGGGGATAGTGTGATCAGCCGGTATCTGAGGGGATAGTGTGATCAGCCGGTATCTGAGGGGATAGTGTGATCAGCCGGTATCTGAGGGGATAGTGTGATCAGCCGGTATCTGAGGGGATAGTGTGATCAGCCGGTATCTGAGGGGATAGTGTGATCAGCCGGTATCTGAGGGGATAGTGTGATCAGCCGGTATCTGAGGGGATAGTGTGATCAGCCGGGCCATTATCTGAGGGGATAGTGTGATCAGCCGGTATCTGAGGGGATAGTGTGATCAGCCGGTATCTGAAGGGATAGTGTGATCAGCCGGTATCTGAGGGGATAGTGTGATCAGCCGGTATCTGAGGGGATAGTGTGATCAGCCGGTATCTGAGGGGATAGTGTGATCAGCCGGTATCTGAGGGGATAGTGTGATCAGCCGGGCCATTATCTGAGGGGATAGTGTGATCAGCCGGTATCTGAGGGGATAGTGTGATCAGCCGGTATCTGAGGGGATAGTGTGATCAGCCGGTATCTGAAGGGATAGTGTGATCAGCCGGTATCTGAGGGGATAGTGTGATCAGCCGGTATCTGAGGGGATAGTGTGATCAGCCGGTATCTGAGGGGATAGTGTGATCAGCCGGTATCTGAAGGGATAGTGTGATCAGCTGCTTTCTGAGGGGATAGTGTGATCAGCTGGTATCTGAGGGGATAGTGTGATCAGCTGGTATCTGAGGGGATAGTGTGATCAGCCGGTATCTGAGGGGGTAGTGTGATCAGCTGCTTTCTGAGGGGATAGTGTGATCAGCTGCTTTCTGAGGGGATAGTGTGATCAGCCGGTATCTGAGGGGATAGTGTGATCAGCCGGTATCTGAGGGGATAGTGTGATCAGCCGGTATCTGAGGGGATAGTGTGATCAGCCGGTATCTGAGGGGATAGTGTGATCAGCCGGTATCTGAGGGGCTAGTGTGATCAGCCGGTATCTGAGGGGATAGTGTGATCAGCCGGTATCTGAGGGGATAGTGTGATCAGCCGGTATCTGAGGGGCTAGTGTGATCAGCCGGTATCTGAGGGGATAGTGTGATCAGCTGCTTTCTGAGAGGATAGTGTGATCAGCTGGTATCTGAGGGAATAGTGTGATCAGCCGGTATCTGAGGGAATAGTGTGATCAGCCGGTATCTGAGGGGATAGTGTGATCAGCCGGTATCTGAGGGGATAGTGTGATCAGCCGGTATCTGAGGGGATAGTGTGATCAGCCGGTATCTGAGGGAATAGTGTGATCAGCCGGTATCTGAGGGAATAGTGTGATCAGCCGGTATCTGAGGGGATAGTGTGATCAGCCGGTATCTGAGGGGATAGTGTGATCAGCTGGTATCTGAGGGGATAGTGTGATCAGCCGGGCCATTATCTGAGGGGATAGTGTGATCAGCCGGTATCTGAGGGAATAGTGTGATCAGCCGGTATCTGAGGGGATAGTGTGATCAGCCGGTATCTGAGGGGATAGTGTGATCAGCTGGTATCTGAGGGGATAGTGTGATCAGCCGGTATCTGAGGGGATAGTGTGATCAGCCGGTATCTGAGGGGATAGTGTGATCAGCCGGTATCTGAGGGGATAGTGTGATCAGCCGGTATCTGAGGGGAGTGTGTGATCAGCACCACACCCAGCTGCCTTGGGTTTCGTTACCGGGTTCCGAACCCGAAACTTTTGCGCTACGTGTCGTACCCTCCATCATTCGACCACACCGTACCCAATGGTCCCGATAGTAAAATAATTTTAAGAATGACGGCAGTTAAAGACGTCCACAATTGTGGACGATTCCCTCCCCCCCCCCCCCCCTCTGTCACTCTTCAGCAAAATAGGATGTGGCGATTCGGTCCCTATAGCCATTGCTTCTATTCGGACCGAATAGATGCATCCAGCAATATAAGTCAGACCTCATCTCGAAAATTATGCCTCACTAGGCCTCCCTCCCCACCCCTTTTGAATGTGTGCAGCCGATCCTTGTCATCACAATGTAGGTTAAAGCGTACTCTTTTTTTTTATTTTCTCGTATACGAAGTATAGAGAAAGTTTTGTAATCGTGCAAAAAAAAAACCAACCAAAAACACGAGATTTTTGCAAATCTCGACGTTTAACGCCTCCCTGAGTCGGAAAAACATAGTTTTGAAATATTTTCCGTATGTCTGTGGGTGTGTGTGTGTGTGTGTGTCTGTGTGTCTGTGTGTAAACACGATAACTTGAGTACCGTTACAGCTAGGTTGATGAAATTTCATATATAAGTATTATATCAAATGTGTAGATCCGTATCAATCTTTCAGCGATTTCCGATAACCGGAACTTATTCTACTTAAAAAAGCGGTGAAAACTGTCAAAATTTAATGTGATTTTTTTAGCACTATTACAATATTTTCTCTATACTCTGTATAAGAGAAAGTATAAAGATAGGAAAGCATCTTGAGTTTTAAGCAATATGTTTTTGACGTCAGTTTTCTATTAGCTAACTTTCGCTAAAATAGCCAATAAACTTAAAACCCTAGACATATGAGGTAATATTGTGGGTTCAAATACGGTTATACTATATACTAATATTGTTAGGTACGGTACTACGACTGGCCTAATAGGCCTTTCATCCATCAAGACGCAGCTCATCAAACCTGAGCTGACTTGGAAAAGTTCTGGTGGCCGTCCGGTCCTCATCTCCTATAATAGGATAACAGTTAAGTCATGGGGGTGGGAGCAAAGCTAAGACCCACTCAACGTCACAGTGGGAGGGGGGGGGATTTGTCTGGTATCAACTGCTGGAGGGGATTAGATGGTAGGAAAACAAGTCGTTGGATGGGGGAGGGGGGGAGTAGGGGCTCGGGCAGCAACTGGCTGTTAGGGGGTGGGGGATTAGATGGTAGGAAAACAAGTCGTTGGATGGGGGAGGGGGGGAGTAGGGGCTCGGGCAGCAACTGGCTGTTAGGGGGTGGGGGATTAGATGGTAGGAAAACAAGTCGTTGGATGGGGGAGGGGGGGAGTAGGGGCTCGGGCAGCAACTGGCTGTTAGGGGGTGGGGGATTAGATGGTAGGAAAACAAGTCGTTGGACGGGGGGGGGAGGGGGGGGGAGGGGCCCGGGCAGCAACTGGCTGTTAGGGGGTGGGGGATTAGATGGTAGGAAAACAAGTCGTTGGACGGGGGGGGAGGGGGGGGAGGGGCCCGGGCAGCAACTGGCTGTTAGGGGGTGGGGGATTAGATGGTAGGAAAACAAGTCGTTGGACGGGGGGGGGGGGAGGGGGGGGGAGGGGCCCCGGCAGCAACTGGCTGTTAGGGGGTGGGGGATTAGATGGTAGGAAAACAAGTCGTTGGACGGGGGGGGAGGGGGGGGAGGGGCCCGGGCAGCAACTGGCTGTTAGGGGGTGGGGGATTAGATGGTAGGAAAACAAGTCGTTGGACGGGGGGGGGGGGAGGGGGGGGGGAGGGGCCCGGGCAGCAACTGGCTGTTAGGGGGTGGGGGATTAGATGGTAGGAAAACAAGTCGTTGGGGGAGGGGGGGGGGGGGGGCGGGCAGCAACTGGCTGTTAGGGGGTGGGGGATTAGATGGTAGGAAAACAAGTCGTTGGACGGGGGGGGGGGAGGGGCCCGGGCAGCAACTGGCTGTTAGGGGGTGGGGGATTAGATGGTAGGAAAACAAGTCGTTGGGGGAGGGGGGGGGCGGGCAGCAACTGGCTGTTAGGGGGTGGGGGATTAGATGGTAGGAAAACAAGTCGTTGGGGGAGGGGGGGGGGAGGGGCCCGGGCAGCAACTGGCTGTTAGGGGGTGGGGGATTAGATGGTTGGAAAACAAGTCGTTGAACGGGGGGCGGGGGGGGGGCACCAACTGGCTGTTAGGTGGTGGGGGATTAGATGGTAGGAAAACAAGTCGTTGGACGGGGGAGGGGGGGGGGGGCGGGCACCAACTGGCTGTTAGGGGGTGGGGGATTAGATGGTAGGAAAACAAGTCGTTGGACGGGGGAGGGGGGGGAGGGGCCCGGGCACCAACTGGCTGTTAGGGGGTGGGGGATTAGATGGTAGGAAAACAAGTCGTTGGACGGGGGAGGGGGGGGAGGGGCCCGGGCAGCAACTGGCTGTTAGGGGGTGGGGGATTAGATGGTAGGAAAACAAGTCGTTGGACGGGGGAGGGGGGGGCACCAACTGGCTGTTAGGGGGTGGGGGATTAGATGGTAGGAAAACAAGTCGTTGGACGGGGGAGGGGGGGGGGGGCGGGCACCAACTGGCTGTTGGGGGGTGGGGGATTAGATGGTAGGAAAACAAGTCGTTGGACGGGGGAGGGGGGGGGCACCAACTGGCTGTTAGGGGGTGGGGGATTAGATGGTAGGAAAACAAGTCGTTGGACGGGGGA